TAAAAGTAATATAACACTTAAATTTTTTACTAATTATAATTAGTAAAAAATTTAAGTGTTACATTACTTTTGATGGTTACTATATAAAAATAAAAATTATCTCTTAATAAAATTATAATTTTTAATATAAGAAAAAATTTTAATTTTCACTATATTTTATTAATAAATTTAGCTTTTAAATCATTACTTTAATCATTATTATATATTATTAATAATAATAAGTATTAAATTAATAAATATACTTAAAAATTTAGTTAATTTAATAATTAAAAATTAATTATTATTTTAACTTTTAATAATAATAATTATAAAAATTTTATTATTTAGATTAAAAAGTTTAAATAAATAATAAATATTAATAATATTAGAAAAGTAAATATTTATTTCAAGATATTATTTATTATTAATATTAATAAAAAGTATAAATAATTATAAATTAATTTATTATTCTTAAAATAATAATGTTAATTAATTTTCAAAGCTTATTTTTTAGAAAGATTTTATATATAAATTTAAATATTATTCTAAAATAATAATAATTAAATATTTATATTCAAGATATAAATAAAGTATATATTATTAATATTTAATTATTTTTTTATAAAATTAATTCTAATAATATTTATTCTAAATAGTATAAGATTCAGAAATTTATTAAAAATTTTTAGCTATATTATATCTTTTTTATCAATTGTAATTCATCAAAAAATCTAGAAAAAGCTATTACAAATATTATTAATGCTAAAACTAAATATAAAACTATCTATAATAACTTATTTATACTGAACTGGATAATAGTCTTATAATATAACTGTTATTTTAATTATATTATAATATTATCTAGTTATGAGTATAGTATTATTTAGTTATAAGTATAATGTTATTTAGTTTCTATTTTTCAATATTCTGTAATCTTTTTATGATCAAATTGATATTTATTTGTTTTATTACTCTGTATCTTTTTTACTATCTTGTAGCTATCTGATTGTTTTTAATACTCTATCTTCTTTTTATTTTCTTCTAGCTATTTACTTGTTTTCATTACTCTATGGTCTTTTTATAATCAAAATGTTTGGCCGGTCTTGATTGCAAAAATTACGTTACTATCAGATGGCGCAATCAAAATCACATGACTCTATTCAGCTCAAAATTATGAAATATAGTAGTCGAATTATTGTAATTTACTGCGCCAAAAAATCATGTGCGAGATATATTTCCAGAACCTTCCCCGCTACTTTTGAGCTTCATTCGACTGGAGGATCAGATGGTTGGGGAATCGGAAGTAATAAGATCGGCCTATGTAATTGCCAAGAATAGTGCCGAACTTGCTTGCAATCCTATCTTTATATTTCTATTCGATTGCCAGGTTGAGGCACGAGATGCCAAATTTGCAATCCATATATTTTCTCTCTTGAATCAACAAAAGAAGATAAAGTTAAAAGACTTATAATTTCTTCAATTAAGAAAGGATATCGTGAGATTATTTAGTTCAACCTAAGTGATGCTTCTGAAATCTGGCCACGAACCTTTTCTCCTGAAAAGCTGGAAAAGGATGAATTCCAACCCATCGAAGATGAAACTGCTTTAAGCAAGGGAGCTGGTTTAGTTACAGCAAAATATGAGTGGCTTGAAATTGAAAGGGATTTGTTAGCTTTCAAGTGAAATCATATGAAGTATGTCCTATTTGCGAAATCAAACATGAAAGGGATCAGTTATATGGTTTTCTTCGAAAGGATGGGCGCTTTATACTTAAGTGTTTCCGGCAAAAACAATATAAGCCAGAGCATAAAGGCTTGATATTTGGAGAGGCAATCAAAATTCCTACTGTAGCTTACTGCATTGTCTTAACTGGTATGCGAATTCGAAAAATGTGACCTGAATTCTTAATCAATGCGATTATTACTAACTCTTATTTGATATTCCAATTTCAGGTATCATAACAAAAGCTCAAAGTGGTATTGGAGATGGGAATGATAATGGTGATGAGAAGGTCGAATTCTTTTTGTGTTCTCTTACGCCTACACCTTTACCTATCAACTACCCATCATTATCCCGCGATGACCTAGTTGGACCTATCGAGAAATTAATTGGGCAAATCAAGTGGGTTTTTGATCAGCAAAATCATGATAAGCGGGTAAAAATAGATAATTAGGATAGACATATGTTTTGAGCTAATATTTCAGAAATCGTCATGTATGACGGGCGCAGTCTTGATCTTTGCATATTACATAAAGTAATAAAAAATTTTTTACACGACACTGATCATGACATTATGTCACGGTTTTTCATAACGTCATTTTGAGGTGTGAAGAGCCTTCACATTTATTACGACATCAGACAAAACGGACATATTTCTATTCTTGATCCTTCTAACATATACAGTAGCAAATATATGAATCTTGTCCAAATCAAAGCCTTCGTGTTATATAGTACTACTTCATGTCGAATCTTAATCATCATGTAATATGGTAAAAGTGCGCGAAATTCAAGAAAATTACGATCGCCAGCACGTGTCTGATTGGCGCAGTTCTCTTGATTTAATCACATGCCACAATATGTTCTCGCTATTTCGTCACGTTACAAAGTTACAAAGTTTTCTCGATCATCTTTTCCTAGGTTACTTTCCACAGGAACCAAAGGAACTAAGAGAGTTAAACCTAAGTTTACGTCAGATTTTAACTAAGAGGATGCTCAACTACTGAAAGTGAGCCTCCAGCCGGCTTCTTTCGAAGATGTTATTCCCTCCTTAAAAGGCTCTGGTACGTTGTTTCGAAAGTTTGTCTTAGCGAAACGCTGACATTTCAAATATCATGCAATCACAGCTCCGGCAGAATATCTTCTTCCGGAAATCAATCGCCATAAAGTTGGAAACCCAGATTTTCAAATTGACAAGCTCGATAAGGTTTCGAATCGAGTCAAAACGTTCATAGATAAAATGCGTGACGTTGTGAAGAATGAAAAGGTAGCAACAGGTACAGACGAATCTAAAACTGACACATTGGTGGATGATCTGCTTCGTATCGCCGACTTGAATGTCTGGCCCTTAAAAATACTGTGAGTAATTATAAAAACGTACTTTTTGTGAGTTACTTAATTTGCTAAAAGCTTGTGTTCTATCGAAATCCAGAAATCATTCGTTATGCAGAATAATCATTAAAGAAAAGCCCTATGTTTCAGCAGACCTCGAATTTGTGGTTGCTAATCGAAAATTAAATATGGTGGCTGTAGAGGTCTGAACATTTAATGTTTTTGATTATTTGTCAAACCCATATTTATTCTAAAAAACCTTTTAAACAGGATAAACATATTAAAAACATCTATTCACCAAGTGGTTTTGGAGAAACACAAATATTATTGCTGGTGGAGATGAGAATATACGTGCCACCGATAATGAGGAACCTATTGATGAGACCATATTTGCTATGCGCGTTCTTTCAACGTACGTGACATTTTACAAGGCAGAGACCCTGCAAAATGTTGGGCCGGACTTAGTCGTGGTTTACCAAAAACGGAAGTTATTGTTAAGAGATGGACAGGAGAAAATGCTAAGCGGAAAGGTCTGGATTTAGTAGAACCAAACGGGAGATAAGCAGTGTTAGACGCGTTAGCTAACATTCGTGAATTTCTTCTGCGCCACGAACAACCTGGTACGTACATAATGAATGTTTAAATGGTGTAAAACATGTAAATGATTTTTTTTCAAAAAAAAAAAAATAGAAACGAGCGATGAAAATACACTGGCCGCATCAATGCTAAATGCATCGCTTAAAAAAGATGATGAATAATGCTAGAAATACAATGATCTGTAAGATTCATAGAGTTTATTCATTTTCCGTTGATTCTTTATATCTCAACATTTACATTAATCATTAAAAGTGCACATTTGAAATAATTTGGAGGTGCTTTCAGCTATGTACACAATACAATTATTGTGCATATATCTAGAACAGTTAGTTGGGGGATAATGTGTATTAGTGTAAGCAAATGAAAAGCTTGTGCACTCTGTAGTTATTAATAATGAAACACCATTTCACTTCCATTTAAAACAAATCTATGTATTATTAAATCATGTAATCTCTTTTCTGCGTCAATAAAGTTACATTTAACAGTGTAATCTGATATTTTGTTACGGATTATATCTATGCTAACGAACTTTTGAATTATTCCATTTTATATAAAAAAAGCATTAGCAATGAGATTAGCGAGAGGAGGCGGGAAAAGAAGCAGAGAGATCAAGAGGCACTTGTAATTTCTCAGGACGTGACTAAAATTCCTGAGCAAGACTTATCACAATCTTATGAGGCTAGTTCTGAGAGCATAAGATCAGCACCGCAAGTTAATGCATTCAAATTAGCATGTAATCTTGAAAACCGGTGAAGATTCTTCACGATCGGAGTCATGTGACATGGAGAAACTTAAATCCGATCAGCATGATGAAGTTATTGCCAAGTTGGATAAAATATAATTGTGAAACAGGAGTTAAAGCAACAGTTATCACATACATCTACATCAGATTAAACTTCAGAAGAACAGGATCCATCTTCAGATATCGCACAAAATATAGTTTGCATGTTCAAGAAAGCTAATAAGCTTAGTCAAGAAGCAATTTTATACTGGTGCTACTTTATAGAAAATATGACAAAAGGATTGATAACCTTGTTGCTGGTGAAGTTAAGAAAAAACTACAAATCTATGATATATCATAGCGCAGATGCCATTTCGAGCCTCAATTACCAACAAATCCAAAATATAATAGATTATGTGGATTCAGTAACAAGTTCACAGTGAAGATTCTTCACGATCAGAGTCATGTGACTTCAAAAATTAATCTGACTAATACATATATTCTTCCGAAAGCACCTCAATCTAAGCCAACTTATGATCGATCCTATTTTCGTAGCAAAACATTGGATCAATATCCTAGAGAATATAGTAGTGAAAAATTTGATTAATATAGCATTACTGATGAGACATCATGCCCATTATGCAAGTTGATCATAATGATGAAGAAAATATAGAAGGTAGATATAAGGCTGGATCCTATTTTATTAAATGTGAACAGCGCGAAATTGAGATAGTTGCATAGTTTCATTATTTTATAATGCTATATTTGCTCATGCTTCATTGTGATATTTTTTTACAGGGCTAATCTACGCCGACTATACTTAAATTGATTTGCAATCATATAAAAAGACAATATGACCAAGTCCGATAAAGTATTAACCCCTGAATATCTGGATCAGGCTTTGCTTCGAAAGTGATAGGCTTGAAATCAGAGGCTTGAGATTTTTCTGATATACTTGTCATGGCTTCTGATAGTTGTCATGGCTCACGGCCAGTTTCTTTCTTATATGTTTTATATAAATTGGAGCGAATTTTATCTGTCAAAACGCTTGGTAACCCCCTTAATTTGGCATGCCAATCCAGAATTAATTATCAAATCCGTGCTAGAGCATTTCACATATCTAAAATTCCGAAATAGTTTTAGGGAGATTGATAATTATAATTTTGTATCTGCTCAGCCGTGGAGCTTGCCATGCCCTATTTGTGATAGAAAACATGGGAATTATGGATTACATGTCGAAAGGTATAAAATGAAACGGAATATTGTCTTACCTGCAACACTTCAAGCAATAAACTTAAGTTCGCAATTGTAACATAGTCTGGTCATGTGAGAGACGATCACCTGAAATGCGCAGAAGATATTCGGTAAAATCAATACCGAAAGAATAGGGTGCGAATCGCATATATATTCGTATTATTTTTTTCGACTTGCATTTATTCTTGCGAATAATATTCTCCGAGTGAAAGATACGATCAATAAAAACAGTATTCGAATATAGATATTTCTCGACAATCATTATCTCGTATATGGGATTTGGGATGTGTATGCTAATCCTTCGTCATTTTTATTGATTTGCAAGGAGGATTAGCGAAATGAGTGCGTCATTACTAGTGAAAATCCGAGTATTACTTTCTCCTGGACAATTACCTGCACTATAAAAACAAGCAAGAAATTACATAGTTATTTTTTTTCGGAAAACATTACCATGGAAAACCAAGAGAGCTCAGCTAATATGGAAGTCGAAAATCCGAGGATATCAATATGGAGGGTATGGAGGATATCAATGTGGAGGATATCATAAACACCTCTGCTCAAAGCCGTGATATTTACAAAGTGCAACCAGCTCGGGACAAAGCCCTATTTTCTATAAAGTTATTATTTTATCAGCTTATTTATTAATTTTTCATATTGATATTACGTTAAAAGAGTTATTTCCAGAATTAAATTAATATTTTCTGATTTTAAAGGAAAATATATAAAATAATTCTGAATATAATATATTCTTTACCTATAAATCAAATTTTTGTAAGTATATTCTAACAATCATTAATAATGTTAATGCTATTTTATTTACTTATACAGAATTATTTGATAGATATTCTTCAATATTGATTAGTTTTCATACTAACAAATTAGTAAGCAAGATTTGAGAGAATTCTATTTTATTTCGTTAACAGATATTATTCATAATATTTTTTTATTTCTTTTTTGATATTATTTATAAAATATATTTTAAAAAAATTATAAATAAGTAATATAAATTTTTTATTATAATTATCTAATTATTTTTTTATAAAATTATAAGTTTAATTTATTATTTCTTCTTTATTCATTTAGTTTTTTTTTTGTAAAATAAAATATTAATATTAGAAAGTAATAATAATATATTTTTTATTTTTAATAAGAAAAATTTCTAATTATTAATAAAATACTATATATAAGAATAATTATAAAATAATTTTTATTATTATTTATAGTATAAATATAAATTATTTTTTTATTAATTATTTTAATAGTAAGATTATTAATTATATTAAATTATATAAAAGTTTTATTTTATTTATAATATAACTAAATAAAAAATTTTTATAATAATATAAACTAATTATATAATATTAAAATCAAATAATTTTTTTCAAAATTCTTAAATAATTTTTAAGATATTTTTATTTTATAATAAAGAATAAGATTATATTAGTATAAAAAATATTTGAATTAATATAAGAATATTTTAAAATTACTAATAATAAGTTTTTTATTAAATTATTTATATTAATAATAGTTTGAATAATAATATTTAATATTTTAATCTTAAGATTAGTATAAATAATAATTAAGATAAATTTATATATTTAAAAAACTCAAGTAAAAAATTATTTCTTTTTTAGCAAAAAAAAATTCTTTTCTATTAGTATTAATATGATAAGACTTATAATTTTTAAGATTATTAAGTTAAATTTATAAATTTTTTATTTATTTACTAATTAAACTCTTATTAATACTGTTATTATTTTAAGATTATATATATATAATTATTTTAAAATAATAATAGTGACTGTATTCATGACAGTTATTTACTTTTATAA